TTGCCCGAGCACGCACGGCTCCTGAACTATGAAAAAAAAAATTTGCTGTTGGGAGCACCGGGGGATTGGGGGAACGCACGCTGGCCACGGACACGATGTGGCCTTTACGCTGCGCCATCATCTTGGGCAAGAGCAGGCGGATCAGCGTAAAGTGGCTGAGGAGGTTGACGCGGAAGATCTTCTCGAGCCAGGCGTCGCTGGTGTCGAGGATCGTATGGGCCTGTGCGATTCCGGCATTGTTGATCAGCACTGTTGGTGTGGCATCGCGACAGATAAGTTCCACGGCCTCGACTATCGAGGATGTCGAGGTCAGGTCCGCTTTATAGTAGGATAAGCGTTGGACTGGGAAAATACACTGGTTAGTGGTTGGCTCAGGAATTGGATACAGCGGCGGGTGAACCTGACTGATCCTTAAGCATAATGGGTTGGTCGCCTTACTGTTCTTCATATCATCCGGTAACTCCTGGATGTCCAGCACGATGATCTTGGCCTTGGTCTGCTCGGCGAACATCCTGACCATTTCTTTCCCAAATCCCGAACACCCACCCGTGATCAAGATGGTTTCTTTGCCCGCTGTCTGGAAATCCCACGGCACGCCCTGTTTCTGCACGTGCCAGTAGTTCAAGGCCATGCGGCTGAGGAACCGGTTGATGTGCACGAGCAGGCCAAAGGCGAAGAGGAATTTCAGCGTCTTCAGCGGTGGCGTGGCTTTGAGATTGACGCTATTGGGGAGGTTGAACGGCAGTTGGAAGGGTAGTGCCAGGGTCATCGTGCTTGGTGGCCAGGGGAGTGCCTGGAGCACAGATGGGTTGCGTCGGGTGTAGACGAGCAAGGCCCCTGTGATGAGCGGGTTGAAGACGGTTTCGGAAATGATTCTCCTGGGTGAGAAGCGGTCGGACAAGGTGGATTGGACTGCCATGATGTTGTCGTTGAAAGATGTATACCCAGGATATATATACTCTGTACCTGTTCACACACGCTTGGTCTTGATGTTTTGTCTGGCCTGGTCGTGGGCTTTGGAGCTGCTAACCAGCTACCTTGAAAGGTGTGTCTTGTGAGCGACACGTCGCTGGCGGATATGTACTCGGTATATGTCTGGTTTTCGAAATTGAGGACACCCCGAGACCCTCGACGCGTAACCTAAATACCATTACATGGATGGCCTGATGGAGAGACAGAGTACCGAGGCACTTGGCCGTTAAGGCTCGGTGCCAGCAGCCGCCAAGGCTAGATATTTCAGGGGTTAGTTGCTTGTTAACTCCGTAATATCTTCTTCCCTTTCCTTCCCATCTCATCGCCGCCTATATGGCTCTTTTTATTTGCAGTCTTTCTTTGGGAGTTATTCTCTCCGTCGCCCCTCCGGTCGCCATCAGTTTTGCCGTTCCCGGTTGATAGATTTTCGATGGGCGTCGATCCTCGGGATCCCTCGACGACCAAGTCAGACATGAGAATCGCTCGCTACCTTGTGAGCGAGTCCTGGATTTCCGCCCACAAGGACCGCTTGGCGAGAGGGTATGGAAGCCCATTGCATCGAACAGGGATCTCGCCGTCGCCATCCACCCATAGTCTAGCCACACAAAGACCTTGGCGGCGTTTCTTTTGAGACCATGCGCTGCGTTCGGGATATCCTCTTTCTTGAGCAAGATCGCGTCAGCCCGTAAGAGGTTCCTGGCCTTCATGGACCTTTATCTGGGCCCCGTGGAGGAAGCCCCTCAAGATTTCGTCTCACAAGGAAATGCCTTTCGTCGACCAGGGTCATCGCCAGGCTATCACAGTCTCCCCATGGATCCCGCTGGCTGGAATGGTACTGGGTAATGCTCTGTGAATGGCGGGTAAGTTGGCATTCTAGCGGTGCTCGAAAAGGTCCAGGAAGGGTTCTCAACAGCCTGAGACTGTCGCCATCGATCCTCCTCGAGGGATCGTGGCGGAAGCGATGCAACACTCTCATCGATAGTAGTTGTGGAGTCGTGTGCATGTCCCCTGAATGTTTTCATGACATTCAAATTGTTTTTCTGCAATCCAGTCTTTCTTGTTAGATCACATGCCACGCGATCATTTACCGGGCCTTGCGGATTCGACCGACGAGCTACTAGTGGGCCAGTTGATTAGCGAGCGCTGAAGAGCAGCAAGTCGGCTACTTATTACTACTTCACCACATCTTTGGACGCAGCTCGACAGAATCGGCCATGTTTTACGTACAAGGCGCCTATCTCTGTTACTCTTTGGGTAGCGATCCTGCAAGTATCCCCGCCGTCTCTTGCAAGTCCACCCGGGAAGATAACTGTGCCAGCTCACAGGATGCATGCGGCCAGAGGCTGCTACACCTACTAGTCGCCCTTCCTCTCTGGTGGCCGGGACAACCCTGGTTCCCCGTCAACTACTGCGTATGGAAAAGAAAGGGCCCATCAGTCCTTTCTCTTTTGAGCTAGTCTACTATGTAAGTACTGCTAACGAAAGAAAGCGTTCAGCCGCACGGAGCAAAGGCGAAGTGCTGTTAGCCCCTCCTCCCCCTACTCCCCCACGCTCTGTCTGAAGTCGAAGATGTCGATAAATGCCAGTACTATGAGCTGTGCGAGTTTCCCAGTCGAGGCAAATGAGCCCGAGCCCTACTAGCTCTTGGGCGAGGACTTCACCTTTTGCTGCCGCCTTGTCGCTCTGCAACTGTTGTTTGTAGATACTTCCCATGATACTACATGCATCAGAGAAGAATCCCGCTCCATCTTCCTAATCCTCCAGATGGCTACGCAAAAACAGGTTCTCGTGCCAACAGCTACGCCAGAGAAGACGGCTTTGAAGTCCGACCTTCACGACAAGAAGCCGAATGACCACCAAGGAGCGAAAATAACCGACAACACTACCAATTCCAAATTGAAATTCAGATTGCCGCCAAAAGTCAAGGCCTGGGTTATTCTCCTCTCACACCTTGCTGTGTGTACTGCCCTCGCCCTGAGCATTGCCCTTGCTATAAACGGGTATGAAGCTCTCGACGATGATTCTGCCAGCCATGCAACGTATGTCGACGGCAAGTTGATCCTGCGCGTAGCAGATGTCACGACTATAGTCTCTGCCGCTTTGGTCATCGTCAAACTTCTGGTTGGGGCGTGGTCGACGCTCACTGTGTGGGCGTGTGGCCATTACTTGCTGTCCGCTACTACCCCTGTATCGACGACTCAAGATCCGAAGGTCGCCACCACAACGAAAGCCAAAGAGGTCAGCTGGATGGTGCGATGGAAACTGCCACCCTGGATCCATCCGCGTCACTTCAACAAGCCGAAGAACCCTCGTCAATGGGTCATCTCGGTCGCACTCCTAATGACTGCCGTCCAAACTTTCATCGCCCCCATCATTACTGGCGCAGTGAACTGGACATCCACGCCAGTACCTACGCCAGACGCGAGGGTTTCTGTGGCTGCTGTCGACAGTACGGCTGATTTTGGTGGTTGGAAATGGTACAACTACCCGTTCGAGCCCTTTGGTCTCGACCGGAAGCCGTACTTGCGCACCGCAGCCGGGTACGCGAGTTTGGTGTGGAGCGACCAGACGACCATGTCAGCAAACGGAACGTCATTGACTGGCAATGGATGTCGGCATGTCGTGCAGAGCCACGACATGGTGGGCCCTAACTCGACCCTCCTCAACGCCACAGTCCCTTGCATCCGAATCCACAGCCTCGAGTGGTACAAGGCTGACTATGAGGTCCCTCGTGCAGAGTGGGTCTATGTCGCGGACTCGAGCAGCCTCAGCATCGTCGATGACCCTCCCTCGTCATACTACCGGCCGGGAATGGCGGTGGTCTTTGACGACTATGTCGGGTGGAACAAGTCGCAGGACTGGTACAGCAAGCCGGCGCCGACAATATTCAGCAAGGTCCAAACCGTGGGAATGATGGTCAAGCGCGTCGCGAACCAGGACCCGCCTTGTTCTGCGCTTGACCCGACAATCTTTGGCAGCGTGGACCACCTGGATCGATATCTCCTCAACTGGGGCGACTCGACGAACGGAAACTGCTACTTTATTGGCAGAGTCAACTTCACCGCCGGAGTCACCATAAGCCCGCAAAGCAAGTACGTCTCGAATCGCGTTGTCGAGGATCAAACGCCGCTGGATGAGGTTGTCTTCGTGGAAAATCCATGGGTCCAAGAAGCTGTGTGGCTACTGCCAGACCTGATGACCATGATTGCCGTTATGAACTCGACGCTCCTGCCCACGTTCGACAACATCAACCACTACGTCGAGCTTCTGATGTGTCAAGCATATCTCGCCGCATGGGACATGTACCACGACTCCTTTGACGAAGACCAGAAAGGCCTCGCCTACACCGCAATCCCTAGCGTGTCGAGACAGCTAGCCGAGGTCTCCTTTGCCAGGGTTTTCGCGTGGCTCGCGATTTGCGCCCTCATGACCATATTCGGAGCCTTGCTGCTGGTGGCTGTTTTGGGAGGCGACGATCTCACGCCCGCAGAGGAGGACCTCCAAGAAGCGAGGGAGGAGAGACACGGCGAAGAAACCGAGGGATTCATTGATGTGGTTTATACCTTGCTGTGTGGTTAGACTTGGTATATTGGTGTTGTCGAAGATCAATAAATGCTCTTGCCGCCTGGCCATTGCCTCTGCTGGAACGAGAGCATACGGATACACCTCGCGACTCGAATGCCTGGGGGTAACGGGGCTCTTGGAGCGACGCCAGAAGAGGCGCGCCGCCTAAACCGGAAAATATTTTCCTGACAAGGACTTTAGAAGAGAACAGTGGATTCCATGGGCCTACTAATCAGTCAAGGACCACGGAGAAGTGGATGGCCCGAAAGAACCACTATGAATAGGAGGCAGTTCCCGACAAACTAATTGACAGAAATCACCTGGCTCTGAAAGCATCGTCATGATCTAGGGTCACCTTCAATATTCAGGGACCACGACACTGAACAAACATTTCCCGCAAAAACTCCTCGGACGCGGTCAGCACTAATACACCAATGCAAGAATACCTATAGCATATTCCGCGATCAGACATGACTATACTCGATACTCTCGAACGCCACTTGGAGCTTCGAAAGGACGTCTTCGGCCTTCTTCAATATAGCTTCCAACCTCGCCGCCACGATGTCGAGGACTTCATCTGGTGCGGCAAGAAGAGCTTCGGTAAGCCTGCGGTGCACACTCAGTGGATGCCTCTAGAGGTGCAGGGAGAATTACAAACATACCCCTCCTCATCGTCAACAAAAGCGCCAATCTGGGCAAGATCCCAGCTAAGGTTGACGGCATGCTCGAGGTCAACTCTGAGACTTGTATCCAGTGCATTTGTTCGGGTACGGACCCCCTCTGCTTCAGTCATAAAGGAAGCATCTTCGGTGGCGTGGTCGAACTTGTGTTCGCTGTATCCGGAATGGTAAGCGGTATCCATCAGCTCACTATGGAGTAAAGAGTGCTCTGTGCTGTCATGATCGACAAAGGTAGTGGCCTTGGTTATGCCTGTTCTTGGTGAAACGACAGTCAGTTGTGTTGGCTCTCCGGCGGTGCTATGTGACAACTTGGGCCTTTGACAAGTCTTGAAGACTCCGGCAGCCATGAAAGGACTTTGTTGATATTTCTGATCCTCGGCTGCCGTCTTCTGGATGTGAGACTCTGCTTCACTGCCGTCAACAATTTTGATCCCTGGTAAGACAGGTTTAGGTGTATTCATGATGGCGACTTATGTCCACTTGGCGTCTCGGCCGGGCACATATCAAGGGCAGAATGAAGATGGAATAGGAACAGCTTTTTGGAGTGACAATTGGTGGACCTCTTTTTGAAGGCGATGTATTCTCCGGGGGGCTACTTATACTCCGTTGCCAAAGACCAGGCTCATCTGCAGAGCTGACCGAGTCTGCCCTGGCTTGACATGATCGGACTTGACCATCCTCCATAACAACTTTTGCTCGATTGTCTCCCGTCATGGACAAGACCCATCGTGAACACGACCGGTCATCGCTCAGCGACACGGAGAGCCACAGCCTCAGACCCGAGGCTGTGGATCCGCTGGCCAAGATCTAAACTTCTCGCTTGAACCCATTGATTGCTTCACCGGGATTTCACGTGCATTGTCAGCACATCAGTGGCAAGTCTATTAGATCAGGCGGAACAAGCGTGCAGTAGCTCCGAAGAACCTCATGCATCCCCATGTCCACTCGCATCTAATACCTACCTTCGCAGTCCGCAGTCAAAGCCCGCTCACTGGCCTGAAGCCTTTCCCTCCCTCGACCAGCCACTAAGGCGGACCCCGACAGCGAGAAATGTTCTTTATTACCCTATTAAATCAGTTGGCTCGCCTAAAGTGGAAGGCAGAGGCGTCTGATGGTCTTGGCGTTTCTGCACTGGAATTGCCTAAGAGGCAAGGCTGTGCATAGGTACGCGGTGCTCTTTTGATACTTGAAGCCCGCTTTCTATACCTTGAGCTGGGCGATGCTAGATATGCCCGGGTAGCGACTCCAATCTCTTCCGCTTGCCGCATAATCCCTGAAGGCTTATAAGCCCTTGTGGTTGGTGTTGGAAGGTCTGGCGGAGTGTTGTGCACACGCCTGTCAGGCGCTTGAACCCTGTCAGCGGGACTCCTATTGAGTCGAGGGGTTGGGGGAGAATTTCCTTCTCTATCAGGGCACTTTTGTTCCCCCCCTGTCCGGTGGACCTTTCCCCTCAAAACTAGACGGTGGTGGGAATTGCGGAATCAGGCAACATTCCCAGAATGTAGGCTGCGGAGTGCGGAGAAAACAGCACGCAATTGGTGATAATAGAAAACGAGGAAACAACCATTGGACACGCAAACGGCAAGCATTGCCAGTTGGACGCACTCCACCTGCTCCTCTCAACTGCTTTGTGGATGTTTTCTTGGATTTTGACGGTGGCCTGCACGGCAATGCCACGAGGGGGATTTTGAAGGCCCCCCAATTTCGTCAGGCTCTCATGGCGAATGTAACAGAAATATCCGTTGCTGTCGTCGCCACCGAGGGCTTTGGTGTCTCAACTGCCCTGGATCTTGCTCGGAAGTATCCAGGTGCGAAAACAAACCTCATTGATCGTAAGGATCTGCCTCGTCAAGCTGGAGCCTCGTCAAGCTGGAACTAGGCTATTAGAGCGACCTGAGAGGACAGCCGATATGTGATAACGGCGTTGGAGGCCAAGAAGTATGGAGGACTGGCCCTTTGTTTAAGAATGATAGCATGAGAATGCAGTGGTCCGGAACCCCGACAATAAGCTGGCTCACACAGGAGTAGAATCCTATCGACATCTGGGAGCCGATAAAGACTGTAATGTTATGACGATGGAAAAGGCGCGAACATGTACAACTAGATGATTAACGACGGTGACCATTCTGGTATCTCGGAGGTGTTGGGGGAACACGAGCTCTGGCTGGGCAGACGCTGAGCTAGCCTTGAAGCTGTTGTTGCAGATTGCTGTTATGCTGAACATCCTCATTATGGCCGAGTTGTCGGATTTCACATTGAGAGAGCCTGTAAAAGTCTGCGCTTGGCTGCTGAGGCCGAGTTTGTCTGCTGGTTAGATCATCCTCTGCACCGACATCGCATCTGCAAAAGCTAGTGCTGATGGTGCATCTGACTGATAAAAATGCCAGGTTGGTAACCGTATGATCGCCACACCCATTTGCGCTGGTTTGCTCAAGCCCGACGCCCGTCACGTAGATCTAGAGCGCCTAGACGAGGAATGTTGCCAAGATCTGTTTCCTGGGCGAGGGATGCTCCCCAGCGACGACATCCTGGGAGCCGAAGGCTGATGATCGACCAGGTGGTACCATACCACCGAATTCAGATAATGAGCTGAAGATTCGGAGTGATATACCCTACAAAACCAGTGTCAACCAGTTCGGGAGAGTTGTTCTCGACGCCCTTAGACAACCCCGACTATGCAGTGGGATATCACGCCCTCCATGAAAGCTGAAGTCAGGCAAGTGGGCGAAAGCATATTCAGTGAACATGTGCAAGGCGTGGAGATCGAACAGCATCGCATCTGCTGGTAAGCCGAGTGTAAACAAGTCCAAGTGAAGAGTATTTGACAGGGCAACAGGGAAGCCCCAAACACCAAACGATGATTTCGTCCTCTGTCCTTACCCTCATTGTAAGAACCTTTTTGTCGCAAAAGCTGACTCCTTCCATGGCTCGAAATTCTGACCCGCCCTTGGCAATTATGTCACTCGGATGCTTGAAGGTACCCTTGATGAAGACCTGGCCAAAGGCTGGGCCTGGGATCGCGACAATGACCCATCACCACCCACCGTCATGTGGCCAAGGCGAGGATTGAAAGATGGTGCATTGTCAATGCGGCTTTGGAGGCGACAGAGCGCTCAGCCAATAAGGAGACCTGGACATGTACGTTGGATCGAGGCCCAAGAGTTTTGTGTCTCTTGCAAGCAGCAGAAGCTCATAATCATTCAGCAAAATGTGGTATCTAGTGTCCTAATGAAACGAAAAGACGCCTTCCTGAAGAAGGTCAGCGTGCGAGAAAAAGACATATTACCTGTCGCAAATATCCACACACAACTTCTCCTTAAGATGTGTAACTTCCACCATGATGTGCGCCCGCGTAGATCATGTCGCCTCGTGCTAGTGTGCTCGTCATCTCATTGCCGCATTTACTCATCTGAATGGCCGCTCGTATGTTCCATCATCATTGCCCACTGCGCTGAGGGGGGGACTGCGAAAATGGCTTAGATCTCCGCTCCCGGTCCTTCGGAGCGCTTGTGTCATTGTTTCAACATTGATCTCACTCCCAGCCGCGAGAGGTGAGCTCTGTCCTGGTAGCGGGCTTCCAGCACCCCTTGGGGCTCGGTTGGGAGATGTCTCGAATCCTTTGACAGAGGCAGTTACACTTGTAGGTGGTGATGTTCCAAATGCTGCCGAAGAGGTGGGCGATCGAATAGGGGAAGGGGAGCGGGCCGGAACAAGGGACGGGTGCCCCGACAGATGGGTCGAGTCGCGGCGCGTATCTCCAAGCTCCTGTTCACCGTGAACGACATCAGCGAAGGAGATAAAACTCAGGCGGCGTACATCGGTTGAATCCAAGGAGCCGTAATTTGACCCAGTGTCCGCGTCTTGCCGATGCGTAAAAGCGGGAGGGAAGTCTTCTTGCACCGAAGAGGCCAGAGAATGTTCGGCTCCAAGACCGGAGATTGTCACGGCAGCCGGTTGATGTGTGACGTGAGTGACGATTTCCACCGTGTCAGGGTCAAGCTTTTCGTTCGTGATGGCCTCCGCAGATGCGTCCAGAGCGGGCGCAATGTGATTTTCGATTAGGACGTGAGTAGGCAAGTGTGGTGACGTCTCAGGAAGAGCGATTTCTTCCTGGACATTTCGCTCGAAGATCATGGAAGATGCAGGCGAATGCGGTCTGGGGGACGAGTTGCTCACCCCGTACCCGGGGGAGCCCGGCATGCCATAGGGATGAGCCATAGAGCCTCTGTGGGGTGAAACTGAGCCCCCAACTGAGTCTGGGGATCTTATGGGTGATGTCGGATTCAATCCAATGGAGGGGCTCGCAGTAGAGGAAGAGGATTTCGAGGCAGCGGTGGCTTTTCCCTTCGCATGTTGCTTGTCTTCTTCCGGCTTCTTGCCCAACTTCCAAAAGTCTCTCTTCCGCGGCTTTGTTGCAGTTTCTTCGAAAGTTGATTCGGAGGTCTGCGTTCCGGTGACTGCACCAGAGGAATCTCTCAGCAAGGGAGCAGCCGAGTCCCTTGACTCGGTACTAGGAGCACTGGTTTTGTCATTGACGGAAGGCTCTTTCGACGACATGACGGCGGACTGATACGTTGCAGTCAAGTGATGGTGTTATTTGGTATTTCAAGTCGGAATTGACCCAGATCACTAGGCCAAGGTAGATGGTAGGCCGTCGACAGGTGACTTGGATTTAGAAAAAGCGCTCGAAGCACAACATTTTGCAGACAGGAAACCAGAAAGTGACGCTTAAAATAGATGCCAATGGGAGCAGATTTGGAGTAGCAGTAAACCGCTCGCGCCAGGCCACGCAGTTGCGGCACTGACAGTTATGGATGAAGAACGGAGAGCAGCGGGCGCCGGAAGGAGGATATACGAGGCGGGATGCAGACTGTGTTGATGGACTGACGGTCGTTCTCTGGACAACGAGAGGGAGAGCGCAGAATATTACAACAGAGGGCCTGTGCAACGAAAGTATGCGGGTTGGTGAGGGTGGGAGAGGAGGTGAGAGTGAGGATGGCGGTCGATTTGCTTTTGTTGTTGAGAGAGGAAACCTGGGAGGGGACGGCGAGTAGTAACAAGTAGTACGTAGTCTGTACACACTAGTTGAGGAATGGAAGTGTTCCTTGGGTGAATGTTTCGGAGAAGGGGAGGCACCAGAGGCGCACGCTGCGAGGCACACCAGTTGACCTGGGAAAAGGAAGGGAAAGCTCATGATCTGTGTCCATTGTCCAATTGAGCTCGCAAGCCTCCCAGCATCACAAGCGTGTCTCGCCTGCACCAGCCTAGCAGAGCCCGGTGGGAGCCACGGTAGTGCCCATTGTGCCCACCTTTAGGGGCTGCCCTCGGGGCAATTAGGCCCCCGTTTTTGGCAGCACCTGCAGTTTCAGGGACACATCATCACCGTCAGTGCATCACCCAGCACCGCCCATGTCTTGTGACAAGTGGAACAACCGATGAGCTAATCCAAATCTGCCAAGCCACCAGACGACTCTGTGCCTGCGCTCCAATGCCACTGGTCAACGCTGGTCAACCTTGATTGTGCCCGAGCTGCTGATCCTTCAAACCTTCGTTCCGCCCCCTAAGCACAGCACAATTGAGCATTTCGGCATCTCTACCTTCCCGGTCATCGTCGAGGTCCGGGACACGTCTAACTCAATATTCCCACAGTCCCCGGAGTCCAAGTGTGCCGTTCGGAATCATGCCTTATCGACGATAGCCTCGACTTGTCAAGCAGGAAAAGGTTGATTCTCATTAGAATCGTTGAGACTAGGCTTCGAGGGGACCAGCTAGAAGAGCGTTAATATCTTTTTTACTTGGACATTTGCCAGTAGACGGACCATTTGTCTTTTTCAATATGCAGCCGACGACTCTCTTCCCGGCGCCATCGACCGCGTCGTCGCGGTTCTACAAGCTCTGCGCTCAGATTCTCCGACCCTCTTTCCGCCGGCATCAATCATCTTACAGACGAACAAGATCCCGACTCAATATCAAGCCAGATCCGGATTTTCTACCTTCCAAGACCGAGCTACACGATCACATCATCTTCAACCCTCCTCCGAGCATGCCCAATGTCTACCACACACCCAATATCTTCCTACCTCAGAATGACCGCAGAAAAGTGTTTTCAGACCCTGAAACCCGACAAACACTCCTACAATCGGCTCAGCAGCTTCCAACCATCCCTGGGCAGACGGAAAAAAGATACCACTTGACGGAGAAGGACCTAGCGGAGATGCGGGAATTGAGAAGGACAGACCCTACGCAATGGAGCGTCAGCCGGCTATCGAAGAAGTTTGACTGTTCTCCAGTTTTTACACACTTGGTCGTCGAAGGACTGGCGCCAGAGAAGGGCAAAGAGCAGAAGATGGTGACCGACATTGTCAAATCGAATTGGGGCAAGAAAAGAAGGGAGGCACGTGAGGACCGACAGATCAGAAAGGAACGCTGGTATAGAGATGCCTGAAGCTGTGTACAGATATGAACAAAACGCAGGAGCTGCGCGCAGGTGGATTGTCTCTTTCTGCATCAAATTAGACTCCTACCTAGCACCACTGCTAGGGGTTGTAATTTTGTACAATTTTTGGACGTGTTTTGCAATGCGGAGATCTCCAAAATCAATACCACCCTCCAAACCGCATCCAGCACAGTCAAGAGGCAATCATCCTGCCAACACATGCTCCACACATTCTGCACAGGTCGTACCCCTTCCAAAGGTCTCCATCGACTCTTCAGGACTGTTTCTTTGCCAGGCACTGCATCCCGACCTCATTACCCGCTGCGCACCCTGAGATATCCTTCTAGTACACGAGATTACTACGGCTACATCTCAGACGACAGGATGGCACCGCAGCTGGAGCCCTATTTCAAGAAGTAGGCCATGGGACTCTTCTATTTTGTAGCGTTCTGACTAGGTGCAGGGTGGATGAGCTCGCGGACTCCTTCATTGACCGTATGGACACATTGCAACCTCAATGACTGCGGGGTATTGATCGTCACACTCTTTAGGACTACGAAAAGCCGTGGCTATCCCCTCCGTGTCAGCAGATGAAGAAAGAAGAAAGGATGTCTTTCGGGTAGGCGACCAAAAGAAGGTGGCATTTGCTAGGAAGTGACTGAAAGAATGATAGATGGGACAATTCCTGGCCTCTGAACTCGAATCTTTAGGGGCAGAGGTCCAACAACGACCGCTAGGAAAACAACCAGGCAAAGAACATCTTGATCTCCCTCCCGTCGTCATCGCTCGCTACGGCAATGACAAGAACAAGCGCACCATTTTGGTCTACGGACACTATGATGTACAACCTGCCCTTGTTGAGGATGGATGGGCCACAAAACCCTTCGAGTTGACCATCGACGATAAGGGACGCATGTACGGTCGTGGCAGCACTGACGACAAAGGCCCCGTGCTGGGCTGGCTGAACGCCATCGAAGCTCACCAGAAGGCCGGCGTCGACTTCCCTGTCAATTTACTCTGCTGTTTCGAGGGCATGGAAGAGTACGGTTCCGAAGGCCTCGACGACTTCATCAACGCCGAAGCCAAGAAGTTCTTCAAGGACGCCGACGCCGTCTGCATCTCTGACAACTACTGGCTCGGAACAGAGAAACCATGCCTTACCTACGGTTTGCGAGGATGCAACTATTACTCCATCTCCATTTCTGGACCCGGACAGGACCTCCATTCAGGGGTCTTTGGCGGCACTGCCCAGGAGCCCATGACCGACCTGACGCTTCTTCTTAGCAAACTCGTCGATAACCGCGGGAAGATCCTTATCCCTGGCATCAACGAAATGGTCGCTCCGCTCACCGAGGAGGAGCAAGCCCTCTATGGACCAATCGCATTTACCATGGACAACTTGTACGAATCCCTGGGCTCCCAGACCGCCATCTTCTCTGATAAGGAAAACACACTAATGGCCCGCTGGCGATACCCTTCACTCTCGATTCACGGCGTCGAAGGCGCGTTCTCGGCCCCTGGAGCCAAAACGGTCATCCCAGCAAAGGTCATTGGCAAATTCTCCATCCGCACCGTTCCGAACATGGAGTCCTCCAAGGTCAATGAATGCGTCTACAAGTACATCCGCGACGAATTCGCCAAACTCAACTCGAAAAACACTCTCGACGTGTACTGCCAGCACGACGGCAAATGGTGGGTCGCTTCTCCCAAGCATTGGAATTTCGCCGCGGCCGCGAAGGCCGTCAAAGAAGTCTTCGGCGTGGAGCCCGACATGACCAGGGAAGGAGGGTCGATTCCCGTGACCATCACATTCGAGCAGGCCACTGGGAAGAACGTCTTGTTGCTGCCGATGGGTAGTTCCACGGACGCGGCGCACAGTATTAATGAGAAGCTGGATCGGAGGAATTACATCGAGGGAACGAAGCTTCTGGGAGCCTATTTGCACTATGTGGCCGAGGAGCCAATGGTAGAGGCAAAGTAGAACAGGGTTATTATTTCAGGTGGGTAGCCATTGAAGGCGTTGAGAGGGCGGAAGTATAGGAAGCTATCACGCCCCCAGTGGTCGTCAAGCTCTGTTATCGAAGGCCTAAGAAGAACTGAATGGCATGAGAACCTGATGATTGATCCGTGTTGATCTCGTGTTGGTCCCGAGCTCTGCGTGACCTGATTGCGGCACACGTTTTGAGTCGTAATACGACGCCGTACTTGTGAACAGGACCTTAAACCACCCTACTTGTTACTCAAGCCTACTGTGCCAAACCCAACATAACTCGTGACGTTCATCTGTGAGGTGTCCGGAACCCTTATCCGGAAGATTCAGTCATTGCATATTTTTTTCGTTGTTATACAAGATTCCCACCCGGTGGTGAGGTTTTCGTATCGTGATCCGTAACAAAATAGTACATCATCAACAGCTACCGTCGCTGTACTTGGTACTCGGTACCGGAGAACCCAATTCCCCAACCTACCGCCTCCACAAATTGTGCCACCACTCGAGCAGATTCTGTGATTGTCAAGCTGGGGCGTCCGTCAAGGGCACGTATCTGACACCCATGTCTTTTCTCTTGGTGACCTTGCCGTCCTTGTCCTTGTCCACCACCCAGATCCACTGCGCTCCCCAACCGTCCACGTCTTCCACGGGAATGAACATCCGTCCTGGCTTGTTTAGCTGGTCAATGAGCGTCTGGTGCATTTCAGCCGCGGCGGCACCGACGTGGATGGCGTCGTAGGGACCGCCTTCCGGGTACCCCTTGCGGCCGTCGCCGGTGATGAGCTCGACTTTGCCCGACTCGAGAAGCTGCCTGCCTTCTTGGCTCCGTTGCATATTTTCCCTCGACATGTCTACCAGTCCCTTTATGTGGTCGATGCCCACGACCTTGCCGTCACCTTTGCCGTCTGACCCACAGACAAGATTCGCCATGACGTGCGTCAGGTATCCACTACCGGACCCTATGTCCAGCACTTTCGCGCCCTTGTTCTCGGGCATGAACGGCAGGAGCGATTCACACGCGGCGGCGTGCATGTGCGGCGCCGAAATGGTGGCAGAGAATCCAATCGGTTGCGGAGAGTCTTCGTACGCGGCATGCGGGGAGTGAGGACAGTAGTGCGCGCGGTCGACCGACTTCATGGCCTCACGCACTCGAGGCGTCTGGATGACGCCCGCATTGAAGAGGTTCTGTATGAGCTCGGCATTTGTACGGCCGGAGCAGCGCCACGCCATTCTAGTCATAGCTGTTAGCAAGGAGAGGAACGATGGGACGTGGCCAGGAATGCTAATGCTTGGCAGATCGAAGATTTGGGCGAAGATTGCTAGAGTTAGAACTGCAATGCCCGCACATAGAAGTACGTTCGAGGAAGACAGGCGGTGCATGTACAGTACAGGTAGACGTGACTCGGGAAGATGGGAGAAACGGTTTTAATACAAAGTGAGATCGAGGAATGGTGTGGTCACTTGCCTGCCAAATGAAAGTGTAAGACGACCGAACGGACTGGAAGGCTCGTCGAGAGTGAACAAAAAGGTAAGGTGATGGTGATGGACTCCTGAGAATCGTCTGAGCAAAATCCGTGAATCGTGTGACGTTGATTCGCGGGGTGGAGAAGCACGAAGCCATCATTTGACCAGAGCGGAAACTGAATGCAAGCCCGCAGTGCGGGGCAAGGAACGCAGCCTTGCATGCTGCAGCCTCGCGCTCCAAGTCAGTGAGAGGATTTTGTCTAGAACAACTTCATAAGGCATTTCCCATTATTCTTCCTTTTGTAATCCAAGGGGGGCAGGTGACTGAGTTGAACAGCCATGGCCCTCTATTTTCTGACCATACCCTTAGAACTAAGTGAGAACCCCCTTTCTCATACCTTCACGTCCCCTGCTGCTTTCAAAGCCCGCTCTATCTTGCCCGTCAGCTCTGCCGGCTCTTCCAATCCGACGCTCAACCGAACAAGATCCGCCTCCACCCCCCACTGTGCAGTCCAGTCCAGCTCGGTGTAGTGGGCCAAGATCGTGTAAGGACATGCAAGCGTAAAGTTCGTGCCCAAGCTTGGGCCTTTTTGAACTTCGAGGGCGTCGAAGAACGCGACCGCTTGCTTGGGATATCGGAATGTCACAGAGAGCAAGCCGCCGTACCCACCATTCGGCGTACGACAGGCCTCGTAATTGGCCCGGCTGGGGCTGCATTTCGGATAGTACACCTGCTTGACGAACGGGGAGTTCTGCAATATCGTTGTAATCGCCTCGGCGTTCGTGTTCATCCGTTCACTCCTTGAGATGAAGTCCCGCGAATTGCGTTCCATGAACACTGCATCTTCCGCCCAATAATTGTCCTCGTACTCGCGCGCCATCGTCTGCTTAAGCTCGGCGTACCACTTGCTCTGGGGATTCAGAACAGCACTGCCGCCCATGACGTTGCTGTCACCGCTAAAGAGCTTGGTCAGGCTGCTCACCACGACGTCTGCTCGGCTGAGGACATCAATGTTAGTGAAATTGCCGACTGTCTCGTCGACTACAACTGCGAAGTCGTACGTGTCCGCCAACGTGCGGATGCGTTGGAGGTCAGGTGAGTTGAGCAGCGGATTACTCGGGAATTCCGTGAACAGAGCCAGGTATCGTTCGCCCGACCCGAGACGCCGCTCGAGATCGTCTAGACACGCCGAGCTTCCGAGTCCATAGAAGAGACACCCTGGGCCCCATTTCTCCAAAATTTTGAGAGTGTCAATATAAGGGAAGCCGAAGCAAATACTCTTCCGGAGGGGCCGTCCTTTGGCCTCAGCGTTGGCCAAGAGAATTCGGTGCGTGTTGAAGATTGATGACATTCCACAGGGGTAGAGATAGACGTCGTCTTGCGAAAGCCCGATTTGTCTGCTATTGCAATTATTCGGAGATTGGGCCAATGCTTGATCCAGATCTACATCATCTGTGAGACACCCACTGATTCTGCGACGAATTGCAATCTTCGCCTGCTGGGCCAGTTTGACGTTGAGGTTGCGACCGAACCGCTCCTCTACGAATTGAGGATAGTCCTTGTCTTCGCCGTCATTTGTTGTTTCGTTTGCCACTGCTTCGACGGAGGCGGCGCTGTCATGAAACACTCCATTTCGGGAAGTGGGTCGTTGATATCGTCGAGGGCCTTTGGTGAATATATCGTCTGTTTTCGGCTTTGATTGTACCGTGTCAGGTTGGAGTATACCATCTTTCAATGCTTTTAAACAGAACTCTCCCCGGCGACTCGATATCCCATCCCCAGTGTGCTGCCAGACCTGCTTCGCGACACTAAAGTAGTCCTTGGGGAAGAAAGCACATGCCAGTCCAGAGAAGGCCGTCTCGTGGCTTCTGTGTTTGTCGACGACCGGCTCCAACTGTAAAATTCGGACGACCCCCGATTCCAACCCCTCGACCCTGTCATAGAAGAACTTCTGGCATCTTTTCGCGGTTGCTGGAGACGGGAAAAGCATGACACTTTCCCCAGATCTGCCGTACAGCCTTAAAATCTCCCTTTGAAGCTCTTGGATCGTCAGATGAATGAAGAACCTTGGGTAGCCGGTCTGCATCTTAGACATCACCCAATCCTGCCCTTCTTCATAACCCACCGTGGCCGCCCATGAGGGCAGCGAGACACTAACAGCATGAGCGGTATTGGGCACTGGTTGCCCGACTGCTGCAAGCATGGCAGAAGCCTTCGTCACTGAGTTTGCGTGCAAAGCTTTCTTTTTCTTGTGGACTGTAAGAGTCGATTGGGGTTAGGAGTCACCCAGTGGTAGAGATTTTTCTTTCCGACCTCGGAGGTCTTATGATTAGTTTCCTTTTTGGGGGACTTCCGACAACAAGGGCAAGGCAAGCCTTATAGTAGGTCGGCAATCGAAGCAATGCAGACAAGTGCGTAGAGAGACCCAGAGGGCTTCTGATTTACGCAAATGATAGTATTGCTTCAAATACTGGAAAGATGTTTCGCTTTGTCAAAAATAGTTGGAGGCGAAAGAGCTCTAAAAGAAAGCGGCGGCAAATTGGTCCAAAAGAGACATTTAGACTCTTGGCAATCAAGGACAAGTAAAAACTGCCCAAACGTACATGCGACTCACCCTGACGATGGCTTTTTAACGTCCATTTACATACCCTCTTCTCTTATCTTTCGCACTCATCTCGCTCAGCTTCACACTCACCCAGCTCATCTTCGCACTCGTTCTTGACCTTGACCTCGTCCACCGCGTACGGCGCCAAGAAGAGGATCTGAACTGAGCGGCGTGCCAAGCGTTGCCTCTTTACGCCTTTTCGCCTTTGGACCGCTTTCGTCCCCTTTTTGCGACCGTCCATTAACTTCGGCCTCCCTTCTACACGAAGTACTATTTACAAAATATCCCTTCCAGCTCTCTCGGGATACGAGCTTTTCTCCTCCAAAATGCGACCCCCTCGATCAGCGGTCCTACTATCGTCACTATAACATTAACCAAGCAGACCCCAGTCAATGCACTTGCCTCTAAGGAGAGCTAACATAGAACATATCCTACTGAAATGCACAAAGTCAATGATGGAACGATAAGAAATACGGGCGGGCAGCAGACTAATACCCAACCTTAGGAGGGCAGCTCAAACAGCCCAGTAACGGTTAGGGCTGCTAAAATGATGTCGAAGACGGGCCTCCCTAAGTACCTAATAGTTAAGTAGTCTAAGCCTGTAAACCTCGAAATTAGTCCTCGATATTCATGCTAAGGATTCTTATGGATTTCCATGATACCACAGCACCGGAGTGAGTAGAGTAGATCATAGCAGACCAGATAAGATGTGGATTTCGGTTAGGTAGTCATAGGTGGAAGAGACACCTTCCTGGTTCAAAGGGCCGACAGCGACAACGAGGAGTTCGGTTAGGGTGTAACAGTGCCAGCAGAAGGACAGCCTGGATAGATGAATGATGTATCCTATGATTTCTGGTTTATCAACAGCACCTTGCCCTCACCATACGTTCAGACAGTGCTGCAGAGTCCACGGGCTTCAGATCGTGTGTATTCGGGGGGAATACTCCGGGATCGCATTTCCGACACTCTCTTAGCGTATGATGCTCTGTCATTTGGCTTCTCTCGATCCCTGCTTTCCTCTCTATGAGATCCGGGTTGTTTTAGTTACTAAATGGGGAAGTGATGGCTGTCGAATGCTGCAAATGAAATAGGGAGCAGAACGGTGTGGCGGAGTAGGCTGGGTTTACCCTGGTTTGCATCGACAGGAGTGCCACAATGGACAAGCCTGTAGCCGAGTCACACTTGACTCGGCTGAAACGAAGCTCGCAGTTGCTCTCGGGGGTCTTTTCAGCCATTGTGTCTGACGGGATACGATCAAAGACATACCCAAGAAAACCCTTCTTTGGCGAGCGGAGTACCAGGTCTGGGCTCCAGCCAGCAACGTAGCCAAGATTGTGCCAGCAATGAAGTACGCAAAGCCCGACGACATCTCAAGTTGCATGCGGCGGCTGATGTTGATCGAAATTTTGGAACGATGGTTGTTGCGCGAGTCTGAAGGGCACGCCGACGCTATGCATTTGATATTATGGTTGGAGAACAAGAAGTTCCTCTCATCGGGTCGCTTTGAAGCATCGAGTGACTTATAGATGTGAGCTTATTGTCCGACGAGTTCGATTTGCACGAAATCCAGAGCGATATTCCGAATCAGTGACGTGTTAAACTGCGAGCTGCTAAAAAAGGAGCGCTTCACACAAGGCCCATGATCGGAATATCGCAGGGCCCATGAGGCCAGAGCCTTAAGAAGAAAAAGAAAATATTCATGCTGGACGCCAATGCAGAGGCTCATACAGAACGTTGGATACTCAATAGAACCCTCATAGAGCAAGAGAGCCAATGAGAGACAGCCAATGAGATTGATACATTGGATGTGCTTCGGAATATCGCAGCGCTAATTGTCGCTTCAATGCCAAGCTTCTGCGATTGCCCAATGATTCAGACCCTCAGCGACGAATATCCCCCTGTAAATGCGGGCACCAGTCCCAGTTTCAACTCTATCACACGCACCTCCCATTAACTCACACGAAGAGAAAGTTGGGCACGAACTTGAGGCGCCTTGGGATATAAATATTTGTCTACTTCCGGCGCTCTCCATGTTACTTTTGCTTTATGCACTTTCCCCCCAATCTTATTTGTCCGCAATTGCTGCCTGCCTTTTTCAATATGGATGACGAGAATGAAAATCAGCTGGAACTCCTGCCCCTACAACAAACACCTGAGCATTCTGATCATACCTTGTATGCTGCGGGCAGTGCTGCTTCAAATGCAATGCCAGACTCAGACTGCGACCTTCCCTCAACTTCTGAAGTCATCTTGTGCACCAACGACTGGAACTGCGGTTGCATTTCAGTACCTGAGCCCCACACAATTCACCCAGACAAGGATATGGGCAAGTGTTCATGCCGACATTTACCAAGGCCAGGAAGATTTTTCGAGGCCACTTGTTCACGATATCGTCGACGAGCTCCCAATCAATACAGCTTTGGTCGGAGCGGCTGCTAGCTTTCATCCTTTCCCCCAAGAAGTGACCGAAATACTCAATCACAACGCCTTGTCGGATCCGCGACTTTCCATTTGCACTAATACTCGCGCTCCTCACATCTCGCAAATCCCCCGAAATCCGGAATCGAGCGATAGTTTCCGATTTACGGGAAACTGTGCAGATCCTCTATACCAGCGTAAAAGGAAACGTCGTTGTCTATGTTGTCGGATCGACAAGGGAAACACCGTCCATGCCCGGGCTATCCATTGTGCCAGCGATGCAGCATTCTCCCTGATATACAGGCAACACCTCCTATTTTGGCGGATATACCGTATCTTGACTGGAGACTCTGGTTTTTCTTGTGCCGTGACCTGGGTGAAAACATTGCTCCATTCCGAAAGAAGTATCTCAATGCCTCGCCGTTGCCTTTCGGAGCTGTTGCACCAATTGTACTTGACTTAGTATTCGAGGACAGAATGTCCAGACACTATCTCAGCAGTAACCGTCTAGTTGTCTTCCAACCTCGCTTGACGATGCGATCCATCATTGTCGGTTCTGGAACGGATCAGGCTTCACTCCGTGCCCCAGCCATCTGCATGCCCCAACTCGACTTGTTTGTAATAGAATCTATGTGGGGAAAAGCTTACTCCGTTGAGACGTCTTACAAACTTTCTGACGACGAAAATGATCTCTTCTCGACTGCCAGGCTATTCACTGGTTATTTCTGTCTTCTTCACAACCTGGGAAACACCGTAGTCGACATTGGTTCGGCCTTGGACTTTGGCTTAGCCCAGTTCTTATCCGTGGAAATGATCTATACCTTGGCCTTCCGGTTACAGATGCTCTTCTCAGAATTTGCGATACTTTGCACCAAGGTCAGCCAGAAGAACGCTGGAAAAAAGAACGGCATAAAGGCGCATGCGGTTGTAGTCCTTTATGCGCTAGAGGTTGTTTATCGCGTCGTAGTGTCGATGAAGACATGCACTTGGGATGTTCCCACAGACAACCCTTTCCATCCTCTGCTTCGACTATGGACTGGCTTCACAAGGCAATCACGCAACATCCTATCGAGGATATTGGCATACGAATGCTACTGCTCCGGGGCTGACGATGAAGGAACCCGGATGGCAATACCACCAATTGTCAAATTTGCTCGCTCGGGAAGTTGCAGGAGCCTTCCAAGTCATCTCAGTATTTTCGCGCAAAGACAGCGCTCTATATTCTACATGGACCCGTTCCCATCACTGAATAAAGGTCGCAGTAATCAATACCTGATCGACCTTTTAGCATGTCCCAACAACGACTTTATGCTCAGCGTCATCAATGGGTCCTTTCGGCCTCGCAAGCGATTCCCAGAGTACATGGTGGCTCACGATAACTCGAAAGTCTTCCGTAGTGAGGTTGCTGTGACGTCGAAGGATGACTCGAGCTCCATTCGGTCAACGTCTTCGGTATCAGCGGAAACACTTTCCTCGGAGCGACTGGACGAACCCGAGTTTCTGTTTCATATCTCGGATGGTCCATCCTTGCAGTTTCATGGAGAGCATGACATGTCACCTTTGCGCAATGATCATTCCCCTTCCGACACGAGCTACATGGACTCGTGCTTGGATTCGTCCAAGGGCGGTGTCGATCCATTATTTGCTATCCCTGAATCGTCCAACGATGCTCTTGAAAGATTTCTAGCGTCAAACCAACGACAGAATAATTGGAGACAGCAGCGAAGCCTTGTTGAAACCGACACGACTCCACCCGCTGCGCGTCTGAGAGGTGATTCGGAGCTCAAGCAGATTGACATGCCTTTTCAGGGGTTGAAGCGAAAATGGACAGGGCCCAAGTTAGCATTCCGCGACTGAGGTGGTTGTTTGCAGCGACCACGAAGGCTATGACAAAAGATCACATACCCCTATGCTGCTGATCACACGTGTACTGGGAAGGTGAAATGGAAAGCTATGGATCTTACTGGGTATGGTTGGAAGCGCGGGCGTGGGCTGCGAGTCCACGCCCAGGCGCTAGGCACTTTGGCTCCCCGTGGCATGGCCCTCGGCCTACTAGCCTGATCCGGGGTGAGACGCGAGCAGTTTTTATTAATACTCGTCTTGGCAGCCAAAAAAAGTTTTGGAAGATCGACGACTTGGACATGAACTCCTCATAACTTTCGATTACGATCATGATACGAAATTAATCTAGTGAGAATAGGTGAAATCGCGCGGCCGTGATCACTGGCACCCGGTACTCAAAGAGCGATCTCTTGAACATGCTCAGGACACCTTAGAGGCGGCAAACAACAAACAAGCGGTCGACATGTCTATCGAGAATACGTCGGATGAACGGTATTCGGCCAAGAGGCGGAAGCTCAGCCATGATTCGCAAGCGGATGATGTCGACCTTTCCGAAGCCTCTTCCAGTCTCGGTGGCGGTGACAATGTTCCAGACAACCTCCAAAAAAGTCGTCTAGCTTCGAGGGGACCTCTCCAGAATAGAGATTCGAAATCCAGTCAAACATCTGCGCTGAAGTCTACTGTGCTACCAACTGGAGGAATCAACAAATCAGCCATTCTCGGGCTTCAAGTTACTGACCTGAATGCCCAGCTGACACCAAATTATGACAAACTTCGACCCAGATGGATCGCTATCTCGAACAAGCTTGTATCACTCATCAGAGACATTCCGGAAATTTCGCCCGTCAATGCAACGGATGCCGTGGGGTTGCTTCTCAAGCAAGGAATCAAGGTGCCATTTCCGGAACCACGACCATCGAAAGACACAAACTACAAGTTCGGTTTTGTGGCTCCGAAACAAGTTTTGGTTGGTGGTGCTCTACCATGGGGATTGAGTCTCAAGGATGAGAACGCCATAGAGGTTACAGCTATTATGCCTGATGGTGTCTTACAGGAGAAGGACTATCTCAACAACAGGGCGTGCTACAAGGCCGCATTCTATCTCGCTTGCATTGCTTCAGCAATCAAGAACAGTGAGGGAGGTGATTTCAGTATCTCCTTTACACACAAGCACAATGTCGATCTCTTGCCGGTCATCGACCTCGTGGCCAAGGATGCAAATCTATTAAAGTTCAAGTTCCAGGTTGCTGTGGGATTCCCAAACCAGTCGATACCTATAGCAAAGACGTTACCTGCAAAGAATTGTCTCAGGCAAGAAACGTTGGCCAGTAAAGAAGAAAGTGACCAGTCAACTCCATTCTACAACAGTGCTATCCGGTACGCAGCATCCTTTCTAGCCTTTGACCACCTAGTCCGCTCAGCACGGAGCCCATCCTTTGATGAAGCATGTCGGATCGGCCAACTCTGGTTACGACAGCGAGGCTTCTCCAGTTCCGTTCGCCTTGGGGGATTCGGCTTCTTGGAGTGGACCTTAGCATGCGCACTGTTGACGCGCGGAGGAGGTCACCGTGGCCATCCATTGTTCTCAAAACAGTACAGCAGTGTCCAAATTTTCAAGGCCATGCTTCAGATCCTTGGCGGACGCGATCTGCAGGAACCGATGCTTCTCAATAGTGCTAAGTTCGATCTCCCACGCTCGGAGGTGCCGGTTCTTTACGATGGAGAGACGGGTGTCAATATCCTCTACAAGATGTCTCCTTGGTCATATCAATCCCTGCGTCACCACGCTCAAGTGTCGTTAGCTGCAGTCAATTCTCGCAATCAGAATGGTTTTGATGCAACTTTTATCCTGAATGTCGCAATACCTTTACTGCAGTACGACGAAATATACTCTGTTAAAATATCTGCAGGCTTATTGTCGACACCTGCAGATGAACGACAATTTCTGCAGAAAATGCACAGGGTCTTAATGAAAGGATTAGGTGACAGAATAACTTTGATCGACTTCCAAATGCCTAAAGAGTCAGGTTGGTCGGTCAACAAGGACCCATCTCACCGCAAGGAAGATTACGAGTTGCGCATTGCATTGCTCACCAATCCAGAGACTGTTGGCCGCCTTGTTGATCGTGGTCCATCCGCAGATGAACAGGAAGAAGCTACCGAATTTCGGGAGTTCTGGGGCGAAAAGGCAGAGCTGCGCCGCTTCAAAGATGGCAGTATATCTGAAAGTCTAGTGTGGGCAGCAGGCCGGCCGGTTACCTTCCAGATCATTACTCATATTGCAGCCCTGCATTTCAAACTGCCACCGAGCTCGGTCGAAACAAGAGCACGGGATGTAGAGTCCACTGTTCTGGGAGAGGGCAGCAGCGCATCAGGGTTTACGCCCAAAGACGCTTTCCGCGTTATCAATTCAACCTTTCAGACCTTGACGTCGAGTTTGCACAATCTCGAAGGTCTTCCGCTACCGATCCGCTCAGTTTCTCCCGCGGATCCAGTCTTACGTTCAAGCTCGACGCTTCATCCATTGCTCCCATCAACTTCATCTCCCATCAATATCACTATCCAGTTTGACTCCTCCACAAGATGGCCAGACTCCCTCCCGGCCATCCAACACACTAAAATCGCATTCCTCCTCAAGCTTTCTGAGCTGCTCAACTCAAACGATCCCAATCTCACTACGCGTGTCGGGATTGAGAATACAGAGTCCGCTAGAACGAGCCACCTCAATACCTCGTTCCTTGACATCATCTCTCCTTCCCCAGCCCCCGGCATCAGTCCAACCTGCTTCCGTGCCCGCATTTACCATGATCGGGAGGCTCATCTCATCCAGACCGCTTTGGCGGATAAATCTCTGCATGGCACCTCGAGAGACTCCCTTTCAATCGCGCTGGCTACATACAAACGAGACTTCCAGGCAAAACCGATCCATACAACCACGATCCGCAACCTGATCACCCGGTTTCCACCATTGTCGAGTACAATCCGCCTTTTGAAGAAATGGGTGTCATCCCATCTCCTCCTTCACGAACATATTCCTGAGGAAATTCTCGAACTCGTGGCCGCCCATATCTTCCTCCAGCCTGCACCGTGGAGTGCGCCCGGGTCTGTCACAACCGCATTTCTGCGCTGTCTACATTTCCTCGCTAGATGGGATTGGGCTTATTCGCCGTTAATCATCGATCTGAGTGTCTCGCAAGACTCCTTGACCGCGGCGCAAGCCGTGGAGATCCAAAACCGCTTCGAGGCGTGGAGGAAACTAGATCCACAGATGAATACCGTGGTTTGGTTCGTGGGCACAAATATCGACACGAGTGGGACGGTATGGACGGTCAATGGGCACCCTCCGCGCGTCGTTGCGGGTCGGTTGAGCGCGTTGGCGCGTGCGGCGCTTGATCGGGTCGAGAGCAACGGTACAGGCATGACAGAAGACCACTGGAGAGGGCTATTTGAGAGTCCGCTGCGCGATTTTGATTTTCTGATCTACTTGAAACATTCTGTCGCTCGCGGAATCGAGCCCGCCAAAGGAAAAGCTAGGGCCAAAGTGAAGTCTGACGCAACGCACGGGGAAGGAGAGTTTAAAAACCTCCAAATAGCCGAGAGCATGGACGTGGGATCGATCGGATACAACCCCGTCGAGCTCTATCTGCGCGATCTTAACCACGCGTTCGGGTCGGCGGCGTTGTTCTTCTACGATCAGTACGGTGGACAGGTGATTGCGGGATTGTGGAAGCCCAACGTCCTGGGACGGAAGGAGTGGAGGGTGAGATTGGGGTGGTCGAGTGTGCCCGTCAATTCTGACGGCGATGCAGAAGAAGGGAAGGACATGTGTGTGTTCAACAGGGACGGAGTACTGGCAGAGATGGCAAGGTTGGGAGAAGGCATCGCCAGGAAGATCAAGGTCAAGGAGTGACAACGTGTGTTGTAGGGTGCGTAATTTGGGTATCATTCATAATGAGAATGGAAAGCCTCAGGTCCATCTATTTCTGCAGCCTTCCCGCTTTTTTCCCTATTATGTCGCCACGGTCCTCTTGAAGCTCGTCAGCAAGGGTCATGGGTCTGCTCCAAATATCTGCTTTCGTCTTCTGTGTTGAGAACCACCCCTGAACTCCTGCATGATACCGCCAAATCACCAGTGCTTTTCCTTTGCACAAGGCCCCAAACTCCTTCATGCTCTATTAAATGTATTTTCTGTCGGGATCTGCGAGGTCTAGAAGCTGCATAGTTTTCTCATACCTGAGTTGATCACAGTCAGAATCTCTCTCATTTGAATGACCGTTCGGAGGAGACTCACATCGTAAAGACAATACCGCCACTTAGAGTGAGACGACCTAGTCGTGGTAATGCACCGGACCAAAAGGTCAATATGCCTTCATTCTTGTAAATTGTCGCCGCACAGTGAAAAGTGTTCTTGTAAACCTGCCTAGCCTCCAAACTCTGCATTCGCGTTTTGACTGTATCAAGAGGCATGGTCGTGTACACCGTAACAATACCAGCGATGCCTCCCAGTGCGAAAGTCGTCAGAGATCCAAGCTTCTCCCCTGGCGCCACATAGCCTTCGGCAAATTGTTTGAGGCTCGTATAGGTGCTGAATCGAACCGCGCTGTTCGCGGCTTGTCGCGCTGTTGTAGGCACGAACCCTTGGAAAAACCCTCTAATTCCTTTCTCTCGAGCGATCACCATGGACCCGTGGATGAAACCGCGCATTCTTGGTTGTGCCCGCTTCCTGTCGTCTACCAGTTGTGTTTTTATTGACTCTGATGGGGTTACTGCCAGTAGTGATTCGGTGACCCCAGCACCAAACCCCGCGGCAACCGTCCGAGGTCCAGATATCTGACCGTCTTCGTCTGATAACATATGTTTATATGTGTCAAAAGCGAGGAATCGAACGCCTGCCTTGACCGAGTTCCCCACGATCGCCGTTGTGCACCCAGTATACCATTCTTTCGAAGGGAAAGGAGGCCACGGGAGCTTTTTGGAGTCTGGTAATCGGCGGTTGAGCTGCGATCTTGTCTTGA